AATTTACCTTAAGACCCTTTTTAGTAATTTCCTTCAATGCCTTCCAATAAAGCTCATCTCATTCATTGTATTTTGTTTTTTTCCATACAAACTCATTTCACATCCGGCTGCAGATTATACTTTAACTTCTTTATAATTTTCTCTACTGATCACCAATATGATCTCCATTGTTGTCCATCTGTAAACAAATATGCTCCCATATATAAACAATGTAATCTCATTTGATCCGTCCATCTATCTGCTGTGAAAGACTATGGTTTTTGTTGTTTGTGTTTCCATTTGTAGTTTGAATAAAATGATTTATATAGCATTCTAGAGATGTATGTACTCATTTAGGAGGGTACCTCCATATTTGGTTCAGGCGCTTTTGCATTCTTCCCACATGTACCATGAGGCTAAACATGCCTTTGCCAACCATGGAGTCAAGTGTTCATCTGTCGAGGTTGATTTAGCTGCCATGATGGCTCAAAAGGATAAAGCTGTTTCGAATCTTACCAAGGGTATTGAAGGACTGTTCAAAAAAAACAAGGTAAACTATGTCAAAGGTTATGGCAAGTTTGTTTCACCATCCGAAGTATCTGTGGACACCGTTGACGGTGGAAATACTGTTGTGAAAGGAAAGCATATTATAATTGCCACTGGCTCGGATGTGAAATCTCTACCTGGTGTCACTATTGATGAAAAGAAAATTGTATCATCAACTGGTGCTCTTGCTTTGACTGAAATCCCCAAGAGACTAGTAGTCATTGGGGCAGGCTACATTGGGCTAGAGATGGGCTCAGTATGGGGCCGACTTGGCTCTGAGGTAACAGTTGTTGAGTTTGCATCAGAAATTGTTCCAACCATGGATGCGGAGATCCGGAAACAATTTCAGCGTTCTCTTGAGAAGCAAGGCATGAAATTCCAGCTGAAGACAAAGGTTGTTGGAGTCGATACTTCTGGGGATGGTGTGAAGCTAACACTTGAACCAGCTGCTGGTGGTGATCAGACTACACTTGAAACAGATGTTGTCCTTGTATCTGCAGGTAGGACTCCATTCACTGCTGGACTTGGGTTAGACAAGATAGGAGTTGAAACTGACAAGATCGGACGGATTTTGGTAAATGAAAGATTCACCACAAATGTCTCTGGAGTTTATGCGATTGGGGATGTAATTCCAGGCCCAATGTTGGCACACAAGGCGGAAGAAGACGGGGTTGCTTGTGTGGAATACATAGCTGGAAAGGTTGGCCATGTGGACTATGACAAAGTCCCAGGTGTTGTCTATACAACCCCCGAGGTTGCTTATGTTGGGAAGACAGAGGAGCAAGTGAAGGCACTTGGAGTTGAATACCGTGTTGGCAAATTCCCATTTATGGCTAACAGCAGAGCTAAGGCAATTGATAATGCTGAAGGACTGGTGAAGATATTGGCTGAGAAGGAGACGGATAAGATATTGGGAGTGCATATTATGGCACCCAATGCAGGAGAGCTCATTCACGAAGCAGCAATAGCACTACAGTATGATGCATCAAGTGAGGACATTGCACGTGTGTGCCATGCACATCCAACAATGAGCGAGGCTGTGAAAGAAGCCGCAATGGCCACTTATGACAAGCCCATTCACATATGAAGAGCTAGTTGCTTCTTCATTCTCGTTTCATTTTTGTCCAACAATTTTACAATGACTTGGAGATGATACCAGCTGTGTTAAATTTAGATTCAGGTTTTTAAATGAAAATTATCCCCCTGTTTACTTGTTTGCATAATAAGAGGAATGATCGTGTTGTTCTTATCTCTGTTCAATAATTTATATCTCCCCTTCACTCTGGGACAATGTTGTAATTCTTACAGGGTGAAGACAACTTAAATGGGATTGTGAAACGGTTTGATTAACACATTGTTGGGTATTTATAAATTATTTTTCATCCACCCATATCTTCTTATTAGCAGGAATTCTTACATGAGCAGGATACTTGAAGGAATAAAAATGGTGACCAAGCTGTGAAATTGAGTTCATGATTAGTCTTATTCATCAAGTATCGTACTCGTCTTCAAGAAATATATGGGATGTTTCAGTTGGAGTAAATACAGGTGCAAAGAACACGGGACAAAATAGGAAGATAAAGAATGGTAGAATAGCTTTAAAGAATCAGCAATGACAAATGTAGGGGATTGGGACGTTGTTACAATATCTTTATAATGAAATGGGAAAGTTTCATTTACAGAGTCTTTATTTTTAGTGTGTAAATAGGAATATTTATTATTTATTATTGTCAGATTGGTATAAAATAATATTTGAGTATTTTTATTTATTTATTTATAAATAGTTCTATTTCCGTGAAGTTCTTATTTTCATGTCAAGGAAGTAGAAAAGTTAATTACAATGTGAAGTTGCCCTCATTACAGCTTTAATTTTAATCATTTTAAAATTGAGAAAGTATTTCTAAAAATATCAAAAGTAGAAAAGTTAATTACAATGTGAAAAGGTATCTTTTGCCTTCATTACAGCTTTAATTTTAATTATTTTAAAATTGGAAAGTATTTCTAAAAATATCAAAAGTAAGTCACGCATTTTTATTAACTGTTTTTGTTTACGCACGTGGATTGGTTATGAATGCTATTGTTTACGGCAGAACCCGTAATTTAGTCAAGGAAGGTAAGACAGACTATTGTAATTTCTTAAAACAGGTGTGAACAAACATAAAAATTACGTTGAGTTAACCATCCTTTGCCGCATATACCTTGTTTCAATTATTAGTGCTTCGACCAGATAGTAAGCAGATTGCAAAAGGTACAAAACTTTACCACGCTATAGACTCCTTTAAGATTTTTTTATGATTAACATATCCAATTCATAAGCCGCACATATATACAAAATATTAAAATTTAGGTTTAATCCTTTACTACATCCCGATTTATGTACGAATTTCTCAATTGGGTCCTCGTTTTTTAAAGTGTATCAAAATGGTCTCTAATTTTGAAAATTGATATCAATTGAGTCTTTTCCGTTAAGTTGGCTGGACGGCGTTAAAAAAATTGATGAGTGGATGCTGAGATGACAAACGAGCGCTCGTCCATCAGCGAACGAACGCTCGTGCAGCAGCGAACGAACGCTCGTCCACCAGAGAACGAACGCTCGTCCACCAGAGAACGAACGCTCGTCCACCAGAGAACGAACGCTCGTCGACCTCTTACTGCTGGACAACCGTTCGTTCCACACTGGACGACCGTTCGTTCGGTGGTCGACGAGCGTTCGTTCGCTGATGGACGAGCGTTCGTTCGCTGGTGGACGAGCGCTCGTTCGTCATCTCAGCATCCCACTCATCAATTTTTTTAACGCCGTCCAGCCAACTTAACGGAAAGGACTCAATTGATATCAATTTTCAAAATTAGGGACCATTTTGATACACTTTAAAAAACGAGGACCCAATTGAGAAATTCGTACATAAATAGGGATGTAGTAAAGGATTAAACCTAAAATTTAAGCTGTGCAGATTATTTTAAACTCTTTTAGTCGTAATAATGACCATAGAATTACGTTCCCAATCATAGAAAATACCATTATCCACGACAGTAAAATAAAAGGTTTAAATCCTTTAGTTATTTTTATTTTTGTTAGTTTTTTCCATTTTGATCTAGTTTTTGAAATTTCCAATTGAGTCCTAAAAAGTGTTAATTTAAATCAGTTGGACCCCTACCGTTAAATTTGGTAAACAAAATTAAGTTTTTTATGAAGTGGAAGATTGACATGACAAATTTTTTAGACGTGGCATGCTGAAAGCTTTATATGTGACATTTCTTAAAAAATTAGATTTTAATAATAGGGTTTCTAAAATGAGATTTAATAATAGAATTTTCGGGTAAGTCGATTTTGCCCTCACCGATGCTTCTTCTTCCTGTGATTTACTTCCTACTTTTCTTTTGCGTTGTTTTTTTTTTCTTAAAAAAGTTTGTGTGCTCTGATAATTCTTACTGTAATAAAATTTTGTTGCTTCTTTTCTCTTTTCACTGTAATAAAACTATGTTGCTTCGTTTCTCTTTGAGTGCGCTTTTTTTATTACTCGCTAAAAATACATAGGGGCTTTGCCAAAAATCCCACAAATCACGACCAGCACATGTTCCCTTTCACTCCTCTCTACCTACAAATACAATACTTACCCTTCGAAAATCGCTTTCTCTCTCTTCAATGTTTGTCTCTCTTTCTTTCTCTCTCTCTATTTCATGTTATTTTCTCAGTGCAATGTTAGAATTTTAGATTAATTTTGGAAGAGAGAACAAATTGTCTGTCGAGACAAAAAAGATCGGAATATAAGACGGGGAGAGTTTCTTCTCTCCTCAATGGAAGGCGACGAACAAGTTCCTCCTTCGGCCACCGCCGCCATTACAACAGTTGTTAATGTCACCGCCTCGCCTCCTCCGCTCGTGGATCCCTCTGTTAATGTCACAACAAGGAGAAACTACCTTGGTTGAGAAAGATGAGCTTTCGACCAGCAACCGGAGGCACCACCGATCGGAAGCGTCGCCGACCCGTTCTCTTCCTCTTCCAAAACGGGTTCACCAAATCGCGAGAAACGCCAAACCATGCATCCACCACTGGCACTCCAACCACCATTTCCACTTTTCTTTACCCATTGCTTCTTTCTTCTCTATCTGTTGGGTCTCTCTTTATAGTTTGTCTCTCTGAGAAAAAGATTTCTGGATAGGATTTCTAGGTGGTGCTTGTAATGGAAGATGATATTTTTTTTTATATTTTTAATCGAACATTTTTCAAGTTAAACTTAGAACATTCCATGTTACACTCAACTTATGCCAATTAAAAAATTGACACATTAACCTCCCACCTGTGCAAAAACTTAACTCCGTTAAGTAAATTTAACGGTAAGAGTTCAATTGATTCAAATTAGCACTTTTAAGGACTCAATTGGAAATTCCAAAAAATGGAGATCAAAATGGGAAAATTCCACAAGGATAACTAAAGGATTTAAACCTAAAATAAAATAATTGTTATTTGGCCGAGAATAAAAGCACATTATTAGCAATGATACCATACTTATTTAAGGAAATATCTGCACACGATCTCTTACGCCTTGAAACTAAGGATCGAATTGCTCTGCAAGAAAATCGAGTCCTAGTATTTACTTAAAAGAGGGGTAGTAAAACAACCAAATAATGAACAGACATAAAATGAGTTCTTTGAAACCACCTTTGGCAAGTTGTGAATGCGTTCTTTGAGGCTCTCAAGGAATGGATAAATGTCAGTCTAAAATTAGCACCTGTTTTCTTCAACCCTGTATTTTTCCTTCCCACATCGCGCATACCATGTCATTGAATAGCATTCAAAAGCTCAACAAGCATCACACCCCATTAATGTGATCAAAGGTCTTATACCTCTTGAGAGATTGAGACCTTCCCATGAACTATAGCACTTAGACCATCAACTGATTACAAAACCGTAAATAATTCTCGTAGCAACTCCAATCTTCAACTACCTTCACTCATATGCATCCTCTTGCATATTATCTGGTCGCTTCCTGGCTTGCAAAGCCAATCGTGCATCTCTCTCTCGCTCAAACTCACGGTAATCTGTTCGTTGTAGGAAAGAAACCTTGTCCAAATACTGGTTGGAACTTTTCTTATAAGCATCAAGTTCTACATCCAGCCCCTTATTTTCTTCCTTATATTCTCCCCAGTCCTTTTTGGTCTTGTCAAGTACACTGAGCTTCTGTTTCTTCTTGATTTGTTCAAGTACAACATCCACTGCAGAAGGTGGAGGAGCTTTGGCTCTTTCCATTGCCTCCTTTGAGTCAGAATCAACAAGCTTTTTAACTTCAATTTCTTGACCCGCAAAATCCCGAACCTCGGTAATCTGATAAAGGAAGAAAATCTATAAACATTGAGACTCATGCCCCACACGGGTGCTGAGAATGCTAGATCATCAACCAAGTTGAAATCCAAAGAATTCAAATTTTCAAGTGAAATTTTGTGTGATGGTATATACTTAAATTGTGTTGGGCTTAATAATAGGCACCCACAGTACATTACATATTGAAACAGCTGGATATAAACTAAATCCAATCATGTCTATAAAAAGCATTTTATTATTAACTTAGGCATCTCCACATATTGAAATAAAAACAAAATGCAAAGCATTTCAAATTTCAAGTGAAAAATTTAGTGCACGGTATACACCATAATTGCGTTGGGCTTAACAGTAGGCACCCCTAGAATATTACACATTGAAACAGCTGGATATAAGCTAAATCCTGTTTTTATCTGTCAGCCTTTTTTTATATAACCCGGCCATCTCTACGTATGGAAATAAAACTAAATAAAATATTCAAGCTAAATATTTTGCCCTTCCATTTGGCTAATTGCAAACAAAATTTTCCCAATTCAGCCAGATTAGCACATGACCAAAAATAGGTACAATAGATAGCAATATGCTTACCACAAGTTTCCCCCTGCTTGAGGCAGCCATGGCAGCATCATCTTTCACTGCTGCAAGAGCAGCAGCAGCAATCTTCATGGCTTCTTCACTGGTGCTGCTTTGCGTGGTGCCATGTTCATTCTTTGAAGCACCTTGCCCGAGGGATTCAGTTGCCTTTGGTGCCAACCCCAAATAAGACATCCAATTCTATATTCAAAATTATCAGGAAAGATATTAAATTCCATAGCAGTGAAAGATGTTTTATTTTATTTCTTTACAAGTGGCTTAAAGGAGAGAACAACAATGCCTTACTGAAGATGTCTTTTTTGCAGTTTTTTTGGGGGCAGAATTAGGCTTGCTTGTAAATCTAGTGAGGACCTTCTTAGATACTCCCTTATTCATTTGTTCCCACATGGCATCAACTTGAGCTTTTATTTCTAGCAAGAGAAAGAGCATGTGATGTGAGCAAGTTTATCACCAGCAAAAACATTAAACTCTCCACGACAGACAATCATTGCCAAAGATAACCAAAAGTCTTAACATGCATATTGAAGCCAAAACCTCACCAGTATCCTCCTGTTTTGCTTCCAGACTAGACCCCATGACAGGTTCTTTGACAGACTCAGCTGCACTTGCATTGACAGTATCTGAAACGTAAAACCTAAATTTGATTCAAAGAAGCTCCATTTTATATCCAAACGAGAGAGAATTGAACATACTACTGTGATTTAAACCATATATAGGATTCAAGAAAGAAGAGTATTCAACCATCGAGACCCATGAAGAAAAACTGAAACTTTATTTACCTTTACCTTTACCCATGCATGTAACGAAATAAAACAGCAACTACAACAAAACCAAACGTTAAAATAAATAAAGAAATAGGGAAATGCAACGAACTAGGGTTTTCACATTAAGCAGGAGCATAGCGATCTAGTAAAGAGAGAGTGTAAAAAATAAAATAAAATAATATGGGTATTTAAAAGTACGCATACAATCACGAATCGAGTCAGTGAGATGATGTGGAAGAGATATCGGTATTTTGAGTAGTTTGGATTGAAAGCTGAAAAGAAGAGGGAAGGGAAACAGAGAATGAATAGAAGCAACAACAAAATAAAAGCTTTACCAGCAGAACTCATCTCTGGCGGTGGCGGTGGCGGTGGAGAAGGCGGAGAAGCACAACCCAACAACTTCGGCTCTACCCTCCCTTCTATGCTCTCCCTATAATTCTTTCCGCTCTCTTTACCCAAATTACCCTTCTCACTTTTTCTATGCTTCTCTGTTTTTTCCTAGGAAAACGTTAATACAATCCCTATATACATATTCACGATGTAATTTTTTAATATTATTAATTAATAAATTAGTAAAAAAGAGTTCTTTTTTATTAAAAGTTTCCCCAATACATTAAAAAACAAACTCAAAATGCATTCAGTGTCAAAATAATTTCCCAAATAAATTTATTTAATGTGCACGTTGGAAATTCGACTCTTCAAAATTTGCACTTTTGGTGAGAAAAACCTTTTTCATAATTTTTTGTTATCCAAATTCGATAAAATATTAAAGAAAAAATAAGAGGAAAAAAATAGAATTGACTTCAGGGAAAAGTAAATTCAAATAATTAATTAAAAATGTGGAGAATAAAATTTTAATTAATTTGAAAGAAGAAGAAAAAAGTAAGAAATGGTTTTATAATATTATTTGAAATTAAATTTTGTTTTTTAGTTTATTTAAGATTTTAAAAAATTGATAGCATTGAATTTTGAACTTTTGTGTTAAAAAATTATTGTCGTGGTTCTCAAAAATAAAAGTTATTAGTCGGGTGTAAAATATTAAAAATACAAAATTTAGCATCTATATATGATCGCGTGTTAGTGTTGAAGAATGTTTTAATTATTTTCGAACTGTTACTTATAAAGATTTTCGCTACTCAACTATACGAGTTCTCGTTTTAATATTTTAATTGTTTGAATTTCCTTTCATTAACATTATATCTATAAATATTTATTTTTTTAATATAAATTTGATAATTGAAATTTATATTTTATTTGATTTTATAACAGCCTAGAAAATTGTATCGATAGGATGTTTAAAATTACAACACTGGATTATTTTAGTAATAAGAGTTTAAAAGATAAATAAAATTTTTTAAATAAATTTCATTATTTTAAATCATATTATTTCTCTAAAAACTTATTTTTCTATAGCTCTCATTTTTTTCTTTAAACTTTATAACAATGTGTTTATTTATTTAAAAATCAAAGACAATCAAAGTAATACTTGAGTTTAATTTTGTATATCTTCTCAAATAAAGTTAGATATAAAGTTAGTTGATTTTATGTTTCTTTTTTCTTTGTCGATTTTGTCTTCCTTCACATTTGAGCTATCTGAGATTGTATGTGATGTTTAAGTCTTATATAAAACTTTATGCTAATCAGTGGTGGTGACCATGTGTCATGATCGTTTCTTTTGTTCATATGAGCATATAAGGTTTCCTATGCGTTGGAGCTAATTTAAGATTTCAAGAATTGTTCAATTATTCTCTGTGTAAAGGAAGTTAATTACCTTGTTTTGAAAAATTTTAGATGTTGAGGACTATTAAATTGTATGTTTGATTTGTCTGAGGTTGATATATTTTTGGTATTAGTGGTTGAATTGCAAAGTAATTTGAATTTGTTGCTGAGTAATTTGAAGGTGTTACAATGATTGTGTATTGTTTGACATTGTTTGAATTGGTGTTGAATTGAAAAATTAAGAATCTTACCATTTAAGCAAGTTGGTATACACTCTCACATTTAAAATTGTTTTTTGACTAAGCACTAGGAATACCAATTGAATAATTTAAACAGGTTACTGGTTCCCCAGATCACAAAATTGAATTTGTTTTTATTTTATATAACGTTGAGCGGCACTGGTGTGACTCTAAGGGCAAACTTAATTATGCAAGTCTGGAAGCATTTTTGTTCCAAACCGCTAAGCGTCCACTTTTACCACTAAGCGACCAATTTTGCAAATGGTACGGGGGAGTTAAGCGGTGATAGAGTACTGTTAGGTGACAATTTTCACTATAGGTCTGAGATAATTTAATTATAAGTCACTGAGCAACACAATGATATGGCTGAGCAAAACGTTTTACAAGAATAATGATGTTAATTGTCAAAACTGTTGTTGAGCATCAAAACTACATATCATTGAGCATCAAGACTGCCATTGAGCGCTAAGACTACAGTTGAATGCCAATACTATTGTTGAGCGCTCTCTTTTGGGAGAGGTCTTGTGCTACGCACCACCGTGAATGCCAATGTATGTTTTGTGATATTATGTATGATTTTAGTTTGTATGTATGTTTAATATGGATTATGATATTTTATTATTTAGGATTATTATTATTAATATTATTATTGTTAATATTATTATTGTTAATATTACTATTGTTATAGAATGTTATATTTTTTAATATATTTCATCCCGTGCAAACCATTAAAATTAAATATTTTCATTCTTAAATTAAAATCAATCTAAAGAATATCTACTAAATCATTCTATTCTCATCTCAACTTAAAATAAAGTAAATATATTATTTTAATAACATTTAAAAAAATTGTTCAATAAAATTTTAAAAAGTTAAAAAAAAAGTCTCAACTTGTTTCTAAAATACTTAAATTTACAAACCAAGTATATCACTACATACTGTAATAAAGATTTATCTAATTGGATTTATCTAATTGGATTTACTAAGTAACAAGATTTTCCCCAATACAAATAACAAGAGAAAATAAAACTTAAAATTTGAGAGCAAAATAAAGATTTATTTTGGTTGAAAGTCTGGTCAATAAGAACTAATATTCATTTTATCACTATCTCATTGAGACTCTTTAATTGTGAAAAGGAAAAATTAAAGAAACTCTAATTTTTTTTTATAAAATGGTGAAAATAAAAAAAAATAATGAAAATTATAATTTACTATTCAACATAATATATAACAAAAAAATAAAAACGTCTTTCTTATTTCTTGGCTTACATTTTAAGGTAGCGAGTATGATATATTTATACCTGGAACGAACAAGTTTTACTTAAGCATATTATTTTACGAATAATAATGACTCAACGAATACCTGAAAGCAAATGATGTCAGAGCCCACAAAAAAGAAAATAATGTGAAATATAAAGACAGGAAATTAATATAAACACATAAATTGTAGCCGATATCATGTTTTCTTTGCACACCTTTATTATAGTGTAATGATAAAAATATATTTTGAAATTTTTATATATTTTTGAAAATGCAATATATAATATCTTAAAAAACTCAGATTATATATACGTCTAGAAAGCAGTATGAACATACATTTGAATAAAATTAATAGAGATTACAAAAGTAATAGATTTATTTGTTATAAAATTTTATTTACATGTAATTATGTAATATTTGTATCTTCTTTAACTTCTATCTCATTGTTATTTCATAATTTAAAATTTATACAATTATTATTTAATTATAAATATTTAACATTAAAAAAATAAATAAAAAATTTAAATATTAAATATTACATATTAGACAATATCATATTTTCTTTATCATAATTATTTTATATAAATTAATTAAGGTTTAATACCTCTTTTGGTCCCTTGAAGGGGACAAATGTTCAATTGCGTCCTACGTATTTTAATTTAGGTTTAATAGCCAATTTAGTCCTCACTTTGGTTGAAAAATCTCAATTTAGTCCCTCGTTATAAAAGTGTTTTGAATTAGTCCTAACTTTTAAAATAGTGGGTCAGATTGGTCCTTTCTGTTAAATATAAGTTAACAAAATTAATGGATGATGATGTGACACAACTTAAAGCTAACGAGGGACCAATCTAACACATCAGCTTTAAGCTGTGTCACATCATCATCCATTAATTTCGTTAACTTATATTTAACGAAAGGGACCAATCTGACCCACTATTTTAAAAGTTAGGACTAATGTAAAACACTTTTATAACGAGGGACTAAATTGAGATTTTTCAACCAAAGTGGGGACTAAATTGGCTATTAAACCTTTAATTTATTAACCACAATAATATACACACGTTTACCCTCACACAGCCACGTATTAACTTCACACAGCCACGTATTAACCTTCTTCAGACACGTTGCAAACTTCCAGTACATCCTCTTAGCTGGCCCGTTAAAAAATTAACGTCGTTACCAAAAAGGATTTAATTGCACTCTTTTTTCACAAGTTGGGACCACATTGAACTTTTTAAATAAGGTAGGACACAATTAAATGTTTGCCCCCTTTCGAGGGACCAAAAGAGGTATTAAACCATTAATTAATTATATCAATTAATTGCAGTATGATTTGATTTTATATAATTATTGAATAAAATAATCGAAGTGCATTGGACACTATTTTTTACACTTGTAGTTGTTTTTCCTTAAATATTTAGTGTTTCACTAACTAGAGACCGAACACCATTAACTATAAATATCCATAAAAACTACTTCAAGCCTAAATTAATGATAAATGCTACTTAATAGGTAATGAGCCCTAATTTCATTAATTTTAGACCAATCCTAAAAATTATAAATAGAGATCAAAAGTATCCATCAAATTAAAACTTTGCTTTGATCCCAATCAGATTAATTACTAATTTAAATATCAGATATCTTTGACAGGTACCTTCGATCGATTCGAAGTACAAGTGGTGAAAGATTTAGATTAAAAACATTTAGAATTACCAAAACAAGCTCAGAGTGAAGTATAAATATATGTTTTGTAAACATACTCAATCATATACCGAAACATAAATGATAGACACACATAAACAATCTCACACACACATAAGCATACAACTATCAGATGTAAGAGCCTGAGAATGTAAGGCTATTGGGCCCTGCAGCCTGGCCCAAGAAACTAAGGGCACTGGGACCTCAGAAGAGGTCTCATTCTTCTAGCTCTGAATCATTTTCCAGTTCTCCTTTCTCTCTCTAAAACTCAGTTCCACTTTCCTCTTCCTTGCTCTGCCTTCTCTCTACCCTAACACTCATTTGAACCGTTGAAATTTCAAATAGGTAGTGTGCTTTCGTTCACGGAGTTGAGAGCTTCCCTTTCATCCGATTGAAATTCTGATTTGGACGAGTAAGTCAATTTCTCCACTCTTCTTGACCCTAGGGCTTGATACTTTACTGGTTGTATGCAATTAGCGGTGCTCCATTTTGATTCTCTGTCTATTCTAGCTCTAAGAGCTGTTTTCATCACCATTCAGGTGGTTGTAGGGCACTGTTGGATTCTCACTGTGAGGGGAACGGTTAGGCACTCTAGTTGAATATATTGTTTGACTTCCAGGTAAGGGGAGCTAGTTATTTTTGTTTGAAATTAATTTATGAGATATATGCATATGAATGTTGAACTGGTGTGCTCTTGTAAAACTGTTTTATGACTTTTATTGTATTGGGTGTTATAACTGAAACTGTGAAATTGTGCATGTTGTGATGTGATGAATTTAATCTGTTTTGAATGAGTTTGTTGGCTGAAATTGATCTTGTTGGAAGGTCTGGAGTAAGGATTCTGTAATAGCATGTATATGAGTATTAAATAGATGTACACGTACTGTTTGAGGTTGTGGTGAGAGGAAGTGAAAATATTAAAATTAGGCATTTCAGATTTAGAGCATAAGAGAACAGGGTAAATAATTTAAATAAATTATTGTTAAATTATTGTTAATTGTTGAGAGTTGGTAGGATAGAGGAACCTTAAAAACCTGAGTTGGCACATCCCTGATTATAGAGTAGCCTTGGCCTGGTCCAGTCAGTTGTGACTAGTCATATGTGCTGGCGTCGAAGGTGAGTTTGATGAGTTCAGACATCTGCGTCCTCTCCGGTGACCAATTAGAGTAAAGAAAGATCTCTACTAGGATGAAAATAAAATAAAACAAGTTAATTGTAGATGCACAAAGTTATCATGTGTTAATTTCTAGTCAATTATAATTTTAGAAAATCAGTCACTGTGTGTTTGGAATTCAAAGTAAGGATCCATATATAAATATATATATTAGTTACGTATATATTTAATATAATATATATTAGTTTAATATAATATATATATATATATATATATATATATATATAATAAAATAAGGATAGTTGTTTCTTATATTGAAACGTGAGTGTTAATCAATAATTATATTACTTGTAGGTATGTATAAATTAATGTATTTTATGATCTGTTATGGGTTAGTTGGAGTTGTTTGGTTCTTGGTATTGATTAACTTAGATTCAATTGTGGAGATGTTATTTTTATAATTTATGAGTGGTGAGTAATGTATATTGTTGAGATTGTGTATATGTTGATTGTGGCAGAAAGTATATGATTACAAAGTGATGAAAGTATGATCCAAGTTGTAAATCAAGTTCCATCTGTGTAGGATCTCTTGGTGAGATCCTTAGTGTAGAATGATTGCATAGTAGCTCAGTCTTGAGGGTTTTCCTGACGCTCCAATGGTCTTTCATTCTCAAGTAGAGAGGATTGATCCATGTGGTGAGGAGTAGCAGGAGGTCCTAGTCTTGGAGGCTTCTAGTATGCTCCAGGGCGCGAAACGGATTAACCTCGTGAGTGTGGTAGGGTGAAACCCATTGGCAACGACTTTGCAAAGCAGTAGAGGCCACCACGAGTGCATAACCCGCCATAGCTCAGTAATCATTCTGGTCCAGACGAGTCGGTCTATAAAGCAATGAGTCTTGTGATGTCAATGTATTCTGTTTGAGTGACTTTTGCATGTCGTGTGTGATTGAATAACATGATTTTTATATCTAGCTCACCCTTGCTTGTTTGTATTGCTTGTGTATGTTTCTTCTTGCGATGATCATCTATTTAGATGGGAGCAGATGGCGAGGAGGTTCCTTTGGAGACAACTTTGGAAGTTGAGGACAATGCTGCTGCCTAGTCTCTTAGGATGTTATTGGTTAATCTTGTAGTATGAAATATTATTTCCCTTTTAGCTTACATTTTAGATATCTTTAGGGTTTAAGGTTATATTCTGAAATACTTTGAGGATGACTGTAATTCTATTTGCTCTCAACTGCTTTCCTGTTCATATGAAGTTTTTTATTATATATGCTTTCTATATAATTGAGATGTCACATCAGACAGTGTTAACTTAATATTAAAAGATAATTTCGGTCACTATCATCAAGGAAATATGCAAAGAAGGAAAATATAGAAATGCATTAAATAACTGCCGTAAGCACATATAATTAGTTTCATTTCATAAATAATTGAAAGAAAATAAACATGGTATATAATAATTACACTCGTATATTACTAAAGTTAACTATATCACCCATACAATTTTTTTCCAAAACTACATAAAAATGAAAAGACAAAGAGTATTTTCAAAATTTAAAATTAGCTCCTACATGAATTAACATATAGAAACCCTTTCGTATAATTTAAAAAAAAATTATTTTTAACATATTTGTAAACAAACTTTTACTTACAAAATTATTGTAGTGAGAAAATGCGTTAAACATTACACTAGACCATGGGATAAAATTTTTAGACATTTTAATAATTGGTAATTATCGTATGGTAATGAACATACGTGTATATATAATTAAAAAATTCGGAGGTTCAATTTAAAACCTATAATTCAGAGGAAGTTGTTTAAAAAATTGTTACATAAATGAGGAGGTTACACTTTATTTAACCATTAACTTTGATAATACGTTTATATCCCGAAATCCTGTATTGCGAGAGTAGTGATTATTAAGAAAATTTGATTTTGGTGATTGTATGGTGATAGTAATAATTATTAGGAAAAAAAAATCTTTTTTCCCATTAATAGTTCGTGTTTAATATTTTAATTAAAAGAAAGAACGTTATTGTATCACGGTTGTAATCATAACCATGTAAACATTATGTATGAATCAAATGCAGTATTTTTAATATAATTTAAAAAAATGTAAAAATAAAAGGACTAAACCAAAACTTCATAAGAAATTATGTAATAATATAAAACACTTCATCTATATCTACGAAGTATTCCATCCTATCAAATAGAAACTTAAAATAAAGAATTTCCATTTTAAAAAATGTGTAAAAGTCTAAATTGCACACCTATAGTAATCTGAATAACACACCAAAGTTCTACTTCAAAAACTGAATTTCGTTGTATACTTTTAACGAAAACAACCCATGTAGGCTTGCATGTTTACTACTTTAACCTTTAAAGAAATTATATCCCCAAAATACCAAAATACTTTAACCTTTTAACGTTAGTGGCTATCAATATTCAGTCTTAGTATAGTGTGTACGTACACGAATTGTGATTCTAATAAGAAAGTATTTTATATTCTTGCTTAGTCTATCCCGAGAAGTTAAATCTAACTATTGAGAAGCATTAACAATTTTATATGCTTCCACAAAATGGAAGACATTCAGATATCGTGTAAGTAATTGGCTTTTCCTCTGAAGAAATGAAACTTGAAAAGGGCATCACGAGGGAAAGTAGGATCCTCCTATCTGAGCTATGTGATTTTTTATATGTACAACAAAAGCTATTACATTCAATATAATACAAGAACTATTGGATATTATATTTTAACAAAAAATGGGAGACACGGGCCTTCTACAGGATTCATAGATATCGAACTAATTCCCTCCAACTAACCGTAACTGTTATCATCGGGCAGGTATATGGTTCCAGAAACCAGCATTGTAATCTCAATGCTGATATGGGTGGTGCGAAAAATGGAAAAAAGTGATACCTTTGAAACTGAAGGGCAACTGGGCTTCATCTTGATCAAGTACAGTGATAAATATTCATTAGAGCACAGGACTGTCTAGACTGTTGAAAGTGATGAACAATGATGGTCCTAGTGATGGGCGCTGCTTCCAAAAGTTGAGGAGAGAGGGGTTGATCCAGGCATCTGTTGGGGGGATAGGTCAGCGCTAGGGGCATCAATATGGGGTGAATATGGCTTTTTCACTTTATTTTTCAGTACTCCCTGAATAACAAGACAATAATTTCATTCAGAAGTCAGCTCTAATATTGTGTGCATAAACATTGGGAACAAATAGCTGATGTGTCATGTTTTATTTAGAGTCCGTTGGTTTTCCAACAATTTAGGCTTGGTGTTCACTAGTTAAACAATTGCTTGAAGAACTAAAAACATATCAAAATTAGAGTATAATAAGGAAGCATACGAAATAAAACATACCTTTGATACTCCTGGGCCATATGTGTTCAATGCATGCTCAATAGAAGAGTAAGCTTGAAGAGCTTGACGAGTTTCTGGGATGCATTTTATAATGCGATGATTTTCTTTCGTATCCAATGCCCTAGACTGCAAATACAAAATGAGCCTTGAGGGGGGACCTTTCGGGTTGTCTTTTTTGCCATGAGTTAATTCCATGGTACCAAGGTCATCCCACAGAATATCCCACAATATTGAGCATGGATCCCGTGCAGGGCTGAATTTCCTCTGAGCAATAATATTGGATGGTTGCTGACAATGACAAAGATAAAGATTGATAAGTAACAGTTGGTTCAAGAAAATAAGGTTTTACTCATTGTTCTCAATCACGACTACATACTTGCAATAGTATGACTCTTCTATGCGTGACCATGAGAATTTTTCCTTTTGGAAGCATGAAGTGATCTTCATAAGCATCTGATAAGGCAAACTTTCCACGAACTTTGAACAGATCAACCTGACCAAAAAAGGAACCTGATTCGGCCAACTGCAGTATCACCTTCAAGACAGAAGTATGGCTATAGTCAGGAGTAGGAAAAGGAAATGAGGTAAATTTCATTGATAGGACTATTTACGAGCGCAGTATAATCAGTAAATTACAAATCAAAATATTTTCATAACATGGCCATCCACATAATTCACGTTCTCTCTCACTAGCTGCTAAAGTATGTCCTGGAAATACAGTGGTAACAATTTAAGGATAACAACTAATGAAGCTCAAAACTGGTAATATTGAAAAAAAAATTATGTTTTGTCACTACGTTAATAGTGAAGATGATAGTTTAACAAGAAATACAAGGGGTGGGGACTATAAAAGTCTAACATTATAGTTATTCTCTAATGTCAGAAATGGTCATTAAAATAAAAAAGACTTGTTGAGTGAACCCTGAAACTCTTTAAGGAACAGAAGTACTACTTGAAAGCAGGATCCTCAATTACATTAATACAATTCCAGCTTTTGCTTTTCAGCCTATAAACACAACATCTGTCAAAAACATGTACAACTTAGAATAAAATTGTATAAAAAATTCGAACATTTGTTTCCTCAAAACTGACAGAATGCAATAGCTCTTCTTTAATCTTCCCAGCATATGCCTAAACCACTGTCTAGAATTTCAAGTAGAATTAGGTTTCTTTGTATGGAACTTATCATTTACAATATTTTATGATTTAAATCTAAAATGTTAAAATAAAAAATAACAAATGAACTTTAGATCTGCCATGGCAAGTTCAACCCACGTTACCTGTCCTTGAGCTTTGTACTCATCATATAGTGTAAGCAAATTATCACCACTTATAACACGAGGCAGTCTCCTCCGAAGAAGTTGTTCATCTGATGTTATAGCAGACGCAATTTTCATTCTCATAGCATTAGCACCTTCAGTTGTTTTTGACAGAAGATCCAAAACTCCACTCATTGGCTGCGCAGCTGCACCAATAATTCCCTTCCCAACACCCTGAACAAAACCCTCAACACCAGAAGATTTTGCTCCTTCCAGAGGTTTTGTTAAAATGCCAGTTACCCCTCTGAATAAACCTTTAGCGAATGCTCCACCACCCTCTCTTATTACATCACCAAAATCCTCCACACCTTTACTTTCCTGCAGTTATATTGAAAGCAGATGTTAACATTATACTATATTAAATGTCTAACACACAAAGCATGAGAACCAAGGGAAAAATTGCACAGGAGAACATCCAATCAAACCTGTCTCTGTCGACTTTGAATGAATTTTTTATCCATAGACAATGCAGCTACACCTTTACTCATGTGTCCAAGTGCACTACTTGCATTGCCCAATATATCCACACCTGAGAGAAGCTGAAGTGGTTGGCCTAGAAGATCTTTTCGGACATTTGAGATAGCCATGCTAATCATAGAACTCTGCCTCATGCATACGTTCTCATTAAACCTCTGGTTTATCCTAACCTGGTTAATAAATAAATATTTATTGTAATAATTATTTCATGATATTCCCGTATCCTAAAAGTGAATAAACATTTGTGTGGTACTATATCACAATTAGTTAAACATTGTCAGAGAGATAAAAAAACATCTGGAATATTATTATGTCTTATAATTTATGAGAGTATTGTCAATCATTTCTATTTACTGCAGAATTGGTGTTTAGCGATTTATACTTAATCATAGGTGTTGTTAATAGGATATCAAGTGTACTACTAGAAGCTGTTAAAAGATTCTAGAGACTTCTCTGGAAATATTACTATGGGGTTAGAGTTCTTTATATATAGACGCTGATGTAGGGTTTCAAATTATGAAAGTTTGAGAGATGGTAAAAATATTATTACTGTAGTTAAAGTTTCTATTACACAGAAAAGTCCTATATAAGGAACAATGGATGGTGTTTGTTTTGTTTTATTGGTTGATACATATGGATTCTCATTTTGACATATTCTCTTTTTTCTGTCGCCTAGGCAGGGAACAGTGGGTTAACGGGTCACTGAATTGGAGAAAAAGGAGCAGAGGTCCTTGCGGAACATTTATTTCATTGGTTGAAACGGATAGGGGCTCTTCAGTTTCGCTGTTTTTACACGCGCGCTTCATCTGCAAACCGTTGGGGCATGATCGGGATTGGGGCCATGATCCCAAGTTATCCAAGTTGAGCGAGGATGGTCCAATTCTCAAGAAACATTCAAGTCTTGGGAGTGGGGGTTGTAGGGTCGTAAGGTTCAGATTATTGGAGAACATGATTAATCTTCTGCATCCTAAAACGTCGTGAGGACAGGACGTGAGTAGGGTTCTCCATTAAGTGCGTCCACTATTGGCACTCTGATATTTGGGGACCATCGTGTCACTTTCTTGTGGTTTTAACAACTATGATATGTAACCTTCAATTGATAGATTCTTGCAAGGTTCTCGGTCGATGGGGTATGCTGGGGGTGGGGCGGTTTATGGTTACGGTGAAGAGGAGAATCTGAAAGGCTGTTGTGCAGGTTAGTTTTGTGTCCTTTATTAATGAAATTAATAACCAATTTGGGCAAGACAATTAAAATCCTTTCTAGTGATAATGCTAAGGATATATTTTCTTCAAAGCTTTCCTTTCTTCCTTTTTATCTTCCCAAGGAATTTTACATCAGTCAACATGTCGCAGCACGTAAGGAGGGGAAAGGGTGGGGGGGAGGAAAGAAAGTGGGGGGGGAAAAGGGGGGAAAAGACGGGGGGGGGGGGGAGGGGGGTCATCAGACCCAGAAAAGAGCCCAAGAAAGTGTTATTGCAGAGGATTAAGGATAGAGCCTGGCTCATGTGCAAAACATAAATCTGGGCCAACGTCGCTGCCTGGGTGGGATGTGTGCGGTAGCTAATATGTTCAAACTATAGCAGTCGAGCTGGGGCGATGTGCATTCGGCTCACTGCCTGTTTTCTCATCAATAGATGCCTTCTTCCTCTCTTGAGAATCAAATTTCGCTCATAAAGGGGTCTGGATGCATTTTTGTTCCAAATGTGAACTGCTCTATAATGAATAAAATGGGGCTGGCCCACGGGTGGTGGGATTTGGGGTGTAGGCATAGATGGGGGATTTGGTCACATCAAGGTGTGGGGGGGTCTTCAGATGTCTGTGATAAGCCTATCCGCAAGGCTAATATGGTTTCCTTCTTGGGTGAAGGTGATGTCTCGGGGGGGGGTCTGGTGGGGCAGAAAGGGTATAACTGGTGTTTAGTCCGGCTGCGCGCTCACCAAGAGAGATATTATAGTCTGTTGATGTCACATTCTTTGAGGATCCACAAAAAAACAAAGCGACCGTTTTTCCTCGGTCCTCTGTGGGAGAGGAGTCGTTGGTCGAGCATGTTCAACACATGTTGCCTCGTACCATCGTGTGATCGGCGCTGGGTCAAGGTTAGGAATTATTCCTTCTTCTGTCTGGGACGGCAAGACGTCAAAGGTTTGATGACAGTGGTGTGTTCCTGGGGCGCGACCGGGGGGGGGGGGGGGTCTTTCTCACATATCAGCGTCGGAGACAATCTCAGCCTCAGAACAATGAAGACCTTAGCTCATCTCCCTCCTCCATCAGCTCACCAGACCAGGAAAAGGAGGTCCGTGGGTCATCCTCGGGCTCGTCGTGGGGGTGCTTCTACTTGACGAAATCAGATGAGAATTGGGCGCCATATGGCACGGGGCGCGACTTCGGACAAAGGTGTATTGCGTTTGCTAGGGCTTCTTATCCAATATCCATGGTTGTCTAAATTTTGGGGGGGTGAGTTATCCAGGCGTTTGGGGTCTTCTTTACTAAGGATTTCTCGTTTTGTTTCCTCCTGTATCCGCCCTTAAGACTCCGAATGGTGATAATTTATTAGGCACTTGATCATCCTGGATGGCGTAAGGCACATGGTTTGATGTAAATGCAGGCCCCTGGTACCAGCAATGGGACTTGGGACCAGGGGGGGGAAACTTGTTTTCCTCTCCTCGCGGGTAAGAAGCCTGTTGGCGTGACCCGAATAAAAGTGTGGTTTGATTGCTATTAATGTTAGTCCTACGTGGTTACAAGTTGAATGGCGTTGCGTCGAAAGCTCTGCTAGTAGCTAAGGGGATATAGGGCTCAGAGTTGTTATTGGGGCATTAATGTCTTGTGATACTTGTGTTGTCTCCTGTTGGCTGAAAACCAGGTGCCGAGTGATCGTATTTTACTTGGCTAGGGTGAGCTGGAGTGCGCATTGTCGGTCAATTGGGCCCTTTACCAGGTTGGGACTTAAAAATGGGGTCTTTCTTCATGGGTGATCTGGAAGAGGGAATGATACATTGAGTGCGAACCGGGGTCCGGTTTTGTTTGTGGGAATCAGGGGGTGGAGGTCTGGGTAATTTGTAAGTATCGACGGGTGTCCCTTCTTATGGCCTTACAATCACCCACCTCGTGGCTTGGTTTGGTAAATTAGTCGTGTTTGTGAAATTTTTTGGATTGCCACGATGTGAGGCGGATCACGCAGTGTTTTTGGTCATTTTTCTTCCTGACAAATGTGTTTTTATCTCATGGTGTTGTTTGATGATCTTGTTATTACCAACAGGGAAGACAACACTAAACTTACTCATTAAATCATTTGTTCAACCACTTTCAGACTAAAGATCTGGGTCGTCTAAAATACTTCCTTCTATTGAAGTGGCACAGTCAAAAGAAGGTGTCACATTTCACAAAGGAAATATTCTCTTGATATGTTAAGGAAACAGGCTTGAACAAATGCAAGCCTATTGAATAGCCTATGGACTCCAATCAAAAGCTCATGAGATATCAAGGTGAACCTTTCTCAGATCCAGAGAGATATAGAAGGCTGGTTGGAAAACTCAATATCTTTACAATAACAGAACCTGATCTTCTTATCCAGTGGTAGTTGTGAAGTCAATTTTATGCAGAATCCACATGTTTTGACCATTGGAATGCAGTGATTCGAATTCTCAGATCATAAAAGAAATCCAAGACAGGGATTGTGTATGATGACAAGGGAAGCACTCAGATTGAAGGATATTGTGATGCAGATTGGGTTGGTTCTCCAATTGATTGAAGATCTAATACAGGATATTGTGTTCTACTTGGAGGGAACCTTATATCTTGGAAAAGTAAGAAACAAAGTGTTGTTGCTAGATCTAGTGCTGAAGTTGAATACCGATCTATGGCTTTGACTACATGCGAGATTGTGTGGATCAAGCAACTTCTCCAAGAGTTAAAATTTGGTGGAAATGAGTCGTTGAAACTGTACTGTGACAACCAAGCAGCCCTTCATATTGCCTCCAATCCGGTGTTTCATGAGAGAACAAAACATATGAAATTGTTGTCTGTAGTTTATTAGAGTGAGTAATGGGTAAGGTTTGTTGACGGGATAAGAACTGGTTTTTACGGGTGGGGGGGGGGGGGGGAGAAAATTGTTATAGCCAATTCTAATGACAACTCGGTGAGACATGGTGATGACATCAAATCGTCTAAGGGGGTACCTAGTGAGTTCAATGTAATGTTCCAAGGGCGTGTGCAGTAGGTGATCTATATGCCTCCAGCTTGGGGGGGATGGTGTAAGAGTGGGGTGTGGAAATATATTGATCGAAAATTGTATAGGATGGGGCCTGTTTATTTTGTGGCTTTTTGGGCTAGGTGTCCAGTTGTGTTGGGGTGCG